CCCCCCCCCCCCCCCCCCCCCCTCCCGCCGACCGATTGGTGACGACCCCACGTGCTCCGGTGAAGTCCTTTCTTGGCAACGATGTCAGTCAGGCTCAATGGCGAAAAGCTACGACGCTACAGTACGGTGTAAAATTCCGTTCTAAACCGAAAAAACAAACACACACACACACGCAAACGAAGTGTTCCGTGTTATGTATCCAGGGGAATTACGTCTTTTCCCGGTTAGACCGGTCGACGCAAAAAAGTCGTAAAAGATGCACAGAAACACACAGATACACACACACCACAGCACAAAGCAGGCGCGCAAGACGAACGTGGCCGCAGACCCACCCCGCCAAAGCCTTTCGCAATACCAAATTTGCAATACCTCGCTGGGAAGAGTGTCGTCCACCAGGATGTTAGGCCCGTCGTTCTCCGGCCCGAACGCCCAGATGGATCTCGCAGCCAGCAGGTCCCAGTCGTACTTGGACTGAAAGAACTCTCCCAGAGTTTTCCGGTCCCACTCGATGCTCACCTGTTTCGGCGTAAAATCAGCGTGCGCACACACCACAAAGGTTTGGTTGTCACAAGCGCTGTCGTACTGGCTGTCTACTGTACCTCTTTTAGTCGCGTCTTCGGCCCCACACTCTCTGTCGACCGCTGTTCTACGGTAACCGTGTTGATGGCGATCAACCCGTACTCGTAAAACGGAGTCCGTTCGAAGAGTTTTGCTGTTTCAAAAATGTCCTCATCGTCATTCTTGACACACTTCTTCCCGCCCCCTCTTCTTCTCGAGTCTTTGTGGTAACTCGAGTGGAACAGCTCTCTCTCCTCTCTCTCTCTGTCTCTCTCCCTCTCTCAGAAAAAATCACGAAAGAGCTCTGGATAGGGAGAGGACAAAAAAAAAAAAAACGGAGCACTTACGTGGCAACACTGCTGCACACACACACAACACACAATCCCCCAGGACACTCGATGCCGACGACCACCCCGTCCCCGTGTGTACTCATCCCCTAAGCGCATAGATATCTACGCCGCCTGTGTGAGATGCGGTCCCAGCTTCATACATACAGCGTGGTGCAAGTAAGCACGGTGCACGGTCCTCTCCCCTACAGCAGTTGCATACATGGAACAATGGTACCACCGTCCAAAACTGTGCGCGGTGCGGTTGTACGACTTCTCACGATGCGGTCGCAGCTGCATGCAAATAACGCGGTGCAAATACGCACGGTTCGCTACTACTACTACAGTTACAGTTTACACATATACGTACCTCTCCGGACTCGATGTCGACTGCCAGCCCGTTCTCGAGGGGCTCCGCGATCATGGTGAGCTTGTTCCTCTTGTTGGGTGTCTCGGAGAAGCACTTGAGGGAGGACGTCTCGACCACCGTCTCGCAGAACGCCGTCGAAGGGTCAGCCACCTTCACCTGTTGTGTCGTAACCATCACCGTGTCGGTATGGTCACTGGTTGCTGTGGTTGGCTCTTGGCGTGTGTGTTGCTGTTGATAGTGCTGTCGATTTACTGGGCGTGTTGCTATGATACAGCACCGTCGATACTGCTGTCGTTAGAAGGTGGTATTTGATGGTGTTCTTCATCGCACGCGCATAGGTTCGCGCGTAGGCCTACGCAGCGCTTTGTCTGCTGTGCCGCCTCGCCATCAACCAAGGCACCACAGAAGTTCCCCTTTTATCGATCTACGTGACTAGCTCGAACGGCAACAAGTCGGTCCTTTGTCACACAGCTACCTCATACTGCTCGACGGTCGTTTACGGGCTGGCCACCTTGGCAATGTCCACTTCTGCTGTCTGTGCTGTCATTTTCGGTACACGCTACGCGCTTCTCCCACAGAGAGCGCCAGAAAAGCGTAGGGCTGCATCACAGCCACAACATGCATCGCCAACTCCGCTGGAAGGTATACTACAGAGTGGACATACGGCGGGCGGAAGCAAAAATCTGTAGGGTGCAGCAGCGGGGGTGTCAACACCATCACAGGTGGAACCCAAACTCTACCCTGATACCGGGTCACGGGTAAAGAAGAACCCCGCGGAGTTAAAACATTTAATAACATTCATACATCAAAAAGGGTGGATTGCATTTGTCAGAGAGGATGTTTCCGGCTGCCACTTCACCTCGGCGTCGGCGTACATGACCCTGAGGTCGTGCATGACGCAGTCCATGTACAGCTCGCCTGTCCCAAGAACCACGTGCTCGCCGGACTCTTCCACCTGACACCCCGACCAACAGCAGCAGTAGAGCGAGGAGAGCGTGTTCAGGGCTCACAAGACTGAACGGAAACAAAAAAAGTGAAAAAAACATGAACCAGGAAAACACGACTTGTATCGCGTTAGCGACATTACAAGAAAGACGCAGCAGTTTAGTGCCCTGTAAATCTACCCATCCCGAGACGGAGAAAATGACCACAGTAGATAACAACAGAAACAACAGCAGTAGATGACAACATGAGCGTCCATGCCATCGTGATGTGATCAAACAAAACGTTGAAAACCTCCCGCCTGGAGACTTCAAAACGACCGCGGGCGATCTTGCCTTGGTGTGTGCGAGCGGGTAGCTCTTGCTGATCTTGCGGAGCCCCTCCACCAGCTTCGGCAAGTCGGAAGGGTTCAGCGGCTCCACCGCCAACTTGATCACCTGCACAGGAACATACAATTCGTCACGAAAATGTTCAAATCATCGTGTATCGTCGCATGAAAAATGAAACGGACGCGACACCTCGAACGATTATTCTACACATCAAAACGCTTCCATGACAACAAAGGCTATCCTTAGCCTTAGCCTTAGCCTTAGCCTTAGCAACGCCAAAAGCTTAACAAAACCCCGCCACACCAGACCACACCACGCCGGGCAAAACACACGTCCTCACACCAAGAACATCTCGCAACCAAACAAAAAAAGGGGGTATTGCTGCTGCTGTTGCTGCTGCTGCTGCTGGTGTTGTTGTTGTTGTTGTTGTCTTCATAATAAAAATCGTTTCCTGTCGCTGCTCAGTACCTTCGTTGTACGCTTACGAAATTATTATCGAAAACTCACGTGAAGATCCCCTTCACAAAACGTACCTTCTCCCGACGTCTGTTGAGGTCGGCTTCCTCCCCTTGTTCACATTCAAACTACTAGTACTAACTGTTACTTTCGGCGTGGACATGTCTTGTCGAAACCCCAGCCGCACACGCCAGCGCCCAACCTCTCTTCTCACCGACGTAGTCTTGAACGACAGGGGCCGGAAGATGGCCGCCTCCTCCCCTCCCCCCAGACCGCCCTCCTCGGCCTCACAGATGGTGGCCGTCTTGTGGATCGACGCGTCCACCCCCTCCAGCAACACCCAGTTGCCGGCCTTCGCCATGTTGATGTCCATCACCGTCCTGAGAGAAAGGACGCACGTGAAGTGATGAAGGGGCGGTGGAGGGTAGAGACATTGGGAAGGGAGGGGGGGGGGGGTACTCAAAGCCGTGCATGCCGTAGTCGTTAGTACATGGACCTCGCATTCCAAAGCAGGTACGGAGCACGCCGGGGTTTTTCTTTGGAGGGGGGAGATAGACAGTTGCCGGACCTCCGATCCTTGATCAGGTTGTAGGCTGATGTACATCACCGCCCAAGGGAAAACCTTGCCTGTTTTTGCCACGCGTGTGCGCGTGTGTAGTAAACAACGATTAGACATTGAAACGCTTGGAAACGTTCAGAAATGTCCTGGGTTGAGCAGCACGTGAGCCTAGACTGGTGCTGGTGTGACACGGGCCATGAGATGAGAAAACAGACCACAAAAAAGGACTTCAAAACTGTCAAGAGCCTTACTTTCCCCCCCCACCATTGAAGGGATGGGACCGCCGTTTGTGGCCGAAGACCGCGGCTGTCGCCAACACGACCCTCCCTCCCGCCCCCTCCCCCCATGCAACCTTGGAAAACCAACGTACTCGCCCATCACAGCTCAACCTTCGTTGCGTCCGCATCCCATCACAGCAGTTCAAGAGCAACGCTCCTGGTCCAACAAAACACACGACGGCACGGCAAACGCAAACGTTCCAGAAATGGAAAAGAAAAGCCGTGGGTCTCATAGTAGGTACCTGCCCTGGCTGATGCTGATGGCCGTGACTTCCTTGACCGCCATGTCCTCCTCGTCGTGCGTGGAGTACGCCTCCCCAAGCACCTGAAAACCAACAACAGTTTTCAGAGAAAAGCATGGTGTATTAACATTGGCCACCGTTTCAGCTAGTGCCACGGAGCGTTGGGCGTCTCGCAGAGGGATCGAATCGCCTGCCCATGTCCCAAGATATCGCACATGGAACCAAAAAGAGAGATGCCCGTCCACCTCAGTCCAACCGGACTCCACAAGATTTCCAATATATTCGTCTTCATATCCTTGACGCTGTTCCTGTTTAACAAACACAACGACGCGCAGAGCCCCCCCCCCCCCCAAATAAAAATCCTTAACCCTCATCTTTAGATACAGACGAATCCGTTGTGCTGTACTAAGAAAAAACAAAAACAGCTTTACCCGTGAGCCGCGTTTGTCCTACACACGTGGGATGGCGAAAGAAAATACTCTCACCTTGACCTTCTGCCCCGTTCTTACAGCCCCGCTATAAACACGCCCTAAGGCCGTGAACGCCTCTCCGTCCGGCGTGGAGTACAGCTTCACCACGTTGACCATGAGGGGCCCGAGGGGGTCGCACTTGGCCATGGCCACCGCAATGGACGAGGTCTGGTCGCCGGTGTAGGTCCTCATTATCTTGCAGAGTGGCGCGAAGAAAAAACAAAAACAAAACAAGAAAATAAAACGAGTGGGTGATGAAAAAATTAAACACCACGTGCCACGTTGCGTCGTGGGTTGAAAAGTGGGAGCGACAGTGCGCAAAAAAAAAAGGAATGGAAAAAAAAAGCAAGAGCAAACGACGCCCAATCGCTACATATGCGGACCACGTCTAGTCAACCCGTGTACAATATCTCTCGTCATCTACATTGCGAGGCGAAGGAGCAGGACGGTTGGGTGGCAAGGAAAGGCGCTACACGTGCCTAAGTAAGGAAAATTCAAAGGAGATCCGAGAATAACATTTCCAAATAATAGAGTTCACATAAAACTTGAAGACTAAACTTGAAGTATGTGTCTTCAGGGTTAGGAACGAAACAGCTACTGATGTACGTCGCCAAGATCTGCGCCATCGAGTGCGACACAGCAGAACACATCGACAACGAGAGGACGTACTCTGGCCACATTTCAGACCACCATTCTGGCGGATTGTTTCTCGGCGTCTTAGCGCGGTTGTTTTGCGGAGGGATTCCTTTCCTTCTACCTGGCGACCACTTTGGTCGGCACCAACCAACGACAACAACAACAACAACAACAACAACAAGAGTGCTTGCTCCCTTCCCTGCTCTTCAGCTAGCTAACGTCAAATTTGATCTCAAGACCCCAGCTTCTTTTGAGGATATCATATCTCATCTTCCGTAAAAACGAAATCAGCTCCAGCATCCTTCTCTCTCAGTCTCTGTGTGTGTGCTTCACGCACCTTTTTCTGCGCATTCGCCACCGGAGAAGGTACGTGCTTGGCCACCACGTCCACGAAACCAGACGCCGACCCCAAGAACTTGGTGAAGATCAGCTTCAGCAGCGGCTTCGGGTCAAGGTAGAACTGGGTGTGGTGGGTGGGAGGGGGGTGGGGGGGGGGGGCACCATCGGATAATTAATAATTTAGTAAGTAAAAATTTTATTAAG